CTTGAAAACCATGCCAGGCAAGTGTGTGTGCATGCCACAAATCCAAGATAAGAATGGAGAAGAGGGGGTTGCAACATCACCATTTTCCCCTGGGGGAGTGTTATTTCTCACACCCCAACTCCTCACTCTGTCTACTTCTTTCTGGCAAGCACACATGCCCTATAACAAACCTAGGGAAAATAGAGGAAAAAAAAAAAAAAAAAGACCAGTTATTCTGTAATTATACTCCTTAATTATACATTCACATTGTTTCCAGTTTTTTGAACACTATGGATAATGTAGCATTAAGTGTTTTTATACATCAATTATCAACCCCTATAATTAAGAGAGGATGAGATAAAATTATTGTTTTTAAATGATAAAGGAAAAAATAGGTTTGAACCCCATCACTTTAGCATCAGTGACTTTGAGACACCACAAAATTCTCCAAACAAATTTTATTCTAATATATGATATAGTTTAAATATATGCAATATTTTTTAATAGCTTGGAGGCATTAAAAAATAAAGCCATGGAGCTACCAGCGGCATGGTGGTTAAGGCGGCTGTATCCCACAAGGCCAGGCCCAACACACAGTTCAAATCCTGGGCTCGGCAGCTTATAAAAACACGCTAGGCTCATATGTGTGTGTGTCCAAAGTTTCAAGAGGAGGGAGACGTGGAAGAGAAGGGATTGTGGTATGATTTTCCTCTATGGGAGGGGGGACTTTCTTTCTCTCTCCTTTTCTCTGTCTCTCTCTGGAGAGAACACACATTTTCAAGTAAAAAGAGCAAGCAGCAGAATAGTCCATTTCGATTAATGGCCCTTTCTAAATACACACAGCAACAGTCAGTGTGTGTGAGGGTCTGCTCAGAGGGATCTGAACCTTGGTCATCACACGGCCACGGCATTGCAGGGCATGAATGCCTTCACTGTGCTCCAGCGGCTGGGCCCACAACCGTGCTATCCAACGCTTATGTTTGAAGAAATATTCACAGAAATACAAACGTTTAGACAAATGAGATCATATATACATTGTGTTGTTTCCATGTACATTTATTTATCTTTGTAAGCAGTTTCACATTTTTTGAAAACATCCTCACTTTCTTTTCTAACTTTCTCCTCCCTGCACTAAATTTACCAGGTAGCCGGTATGACCAGTTTAGAGTGATTCTCTTACATCTCTCCCCATTCTAATAGAGTCAGATGCAAAACAGAACATTTGCCTTCTAGCAAATCTTTAAAAAGATGAGCCATGGTAAGGTCCCTCGGGTACAACGGTTCTGAATCGCCCTCTTCAACATCGAACTTCATAGCGTCCTTCTAAACTTCATAGTGTCCTTCTGAGAGACATCGGGTCCCTCCAAGCTGACTGGGAGTATGCAGCCACTCAGAGCGAAATGATGTGAACCTATTTCGATCCGTGAACTTATGAGAATTTATTCAACAATTTTTTCCCTTAAAATGTTAAGACTTTGGTCACACATCATGAAAAAGAAAGACAGCAGAACAACTAGCACACATGTCTCAATGGAAAAACTAAGAAACTGTTGGTCTCTATTAATCTATCTACGGTTTTCATGTATGTCTATCAAGGAATACTTACTTAAATAGTACACAGTCGAATGTGGGTGTCGTCTTATTTCAGGGGCCCATCCTGAATAGAAAGACTCTTTTTAGTTTAAGTGTCATCCTGTGCCTTCCAGAACATGGGGATGAACTGTATTTGGACAGCAAATTGACCCTCTCCTCGGAACAGCTCAACGCCTGGGCCATGATACCTATTGAAATAGCCAGAAAATGTCTATTCGAAGAAAAACCTGCCAGAGTTGAGAAAGATGACTGTCTTTCTAATTCACCACCATTAATTTTGCTTTTCCACATAAGAGTTCACTGAAAGGCAAAATTGAATGGAGAAGAAACTTGAAATGGTTGAAAGTTTTATTCCCTTTTGCTCTCTGAGAATATTTTCTCTGAAGATACGGAGTTGAGAGAATAAAATGAGTAAGGGCGTTTACGGGTATGGAAAATGATGAAATATCTATAGAAAGGGGGAGAGTGTGGGGTGGAGAATACAGTGATCCAAATAATAGAGCAAGCTATCAGTTCGTACGTTTAGGAAAAAAATATTCTCACAGCTAATACTATTGTTTTCTCCCTTTATTCTGTTTACCTGCTTTGGGGTGGTTTTTTTCTCTCGGGAACAGGACAACTGAGTTTCTGACAGAGTCCACTTTTGTTTGGCTTCTTCATAACCCCGAGAGAATGTGGACTGTTGTAAATATTAATTCTATCCAAGAGAACCTCAAGTCTCTAGTCAGCCCTCCAAGTAGTGACCAAGAATAAAGTATGAGTAAAAGAAAAACAAATTTGGCTATGCTAAGCTCTCCATTTATTTATTGACTTGTTTTACTTGTTTTACTTATTTTGTTTGTTTGTCTGTTTTTCATAGGATTTTGCCTTAAGGCATGTGCACTCACCAGAGAGAGACAGATAAATAGATACCACAAAAGGGAAAGTGAGAAATTACCACTCTGGGGGATGACCGTGCGGCAATCCCTTCTCCTCCATTCTCCTCTTGGGATCTTGGGCACGCACGCACACGTGCCCGGCGTGAGTTCCAAGCCACCTGGTCTGGGACGCAAACCGCAATCGACTACATGGGAGTCCAGCAACATAGCCATTACGCTAACTGCTGGTCCCTGAAACATTAATTCTTAAGCAGCCTATAATAGCTTCTGGACTGAGTATTTGTTAGACAAGACGGCGGCAGGACACAAGTGAAGAACCCTGTGATTAACCCCTGAACTGCCTCTCAGAAGCAGGTAAAAAGGGCTTTATTGATGGAAGGAAAGAAAAGTGACATTTCCCTGCCAATGCAAATATTTTTTTCACTTCAAAGGTGATGAATCATAAAAATCAACACTCCTTATTAAGGAGACACTGTGCAGTATGTGTGGTGCCAATAAAGTCTACTTAATGAAGAACAAGATGGAGAGCTCTCCCAAATGATTTTATGGGTTCAATCTACACTGGGTTAAAACCGCCACTTGAATTCTCCACATGTTGAAGTTCCTGTGTCCACACTTTGAACATCCAAATCCAACTGAACTTTTGAGTTCACTAATGTGAACTAATAATGGCTGCCTCAACTTCTTCTTCAATATGTATGTGCACTGCTGAAAAATTAAGTCATCTTGCTGCTAGAAGAACTGGATAACTTTTCATACTATGTTTTCTTGGACTTGAGGACCACAGTTCTGCTCCTCAGCTCCAGCTTCCTGTTTTTACTACCTAAATAATGAAACCGCTTTTCTTGGACTTGTCTACACCTTTCTGGCACACTGTTCCTGCAGTAGAAGCTGATTCTCAGTGGGAACTCCATACACAGGGCATGCCTCCCATGAGTGTCCTCACTCTTGGTCTCACATGTTTCACTCACATTATAATTATACACATAAAGATGTTGCAAGGCAACTTGAATATTAAATGAATGAATTTCAATTCTTACAATTAAACCTTGAAAAAAAATAGTATCATCAGAAAGCAAAGGGTCCAAGACCTTATTTTTCATTCTCTGCAAGAATAACTCCCTTGTGTTAAGATGGAGCACTATGCTCTCAGCACTGTTAGAGCTTCAATAAAATAAAAAGTCTATTGAAACAAAGTGTATCCTTTACAAAACTATAGTTGAAGACATGGTCTATTCTGTGCCTCAATATCCCTTACAAAAGAACTAACAAAATAGATTTTATCTCTAAGTCGATGTCAGGACAGTTATTCTCTGTAGATTTATTTAGACACTTCTTTTTCCTATCACACAGAGAAAAGGATACAGCACAAGAAATTCTTTTTAGTCTATTTCTAGAGAATCTAGAATTCTATTCAGCAGTCATGTCATTGTATTTAAGTCAACTCAGATACCAGTATCACATATTATTTTGTTCCTTTTAGGCTACTGGTTTAGTTTACTGGTCTCCATCTTCAAAATACAAGTTTCTTTATTGATTATTATGAAGAAAGACTTTTTTAAAAAAAAATTATGGCTTTATGGAGATATACTTAAAATATAAAAACTTGCATATATTTAATGCATGAACTTTGATGAGTTTGAATATATGCACACAGCAATGCCATCACCACAATCAAGATTATATTTATCACTTGCAAAAGTTTTTCTCTTTACTTCTCTTTTCTTTTTTTTTTTTTTTGGAGAGGTTTTTGCTATAGGGCACGTGTGCTCGCCAGAAAGACAGAGAAAGACAGAGAGACAGAAAGTGAGAAATCACCCCCCAGGGGGAATGCCCACACTGCAATCTCTTCTCCTCCATTCTCCTCTCGGGATCCTGAGCGCACACACACACACACCCGGCGTGAGTTTAAGCCACTGGGTCCGGGACTCGCACCGCGATCAACTACGTGGGAGTCCAGTGACATAATCATTATGCTAACTGCTGGTCCCATTATTTTAATTTTTTTAAGTGGAAAAGAATATGAAGACATGGAATGCTTCTTGAATGTGTGTGTCACCCTTGAGTGGGGGCCAAACTAATCTCTGTATCACTCCAATTTTAGTATGCATGCCACTGAGGTGAACACTAGGAGAGCACTTTGAATGCTATATTGTGAAAGGACACTAATAAATCTGTCGGTGTATTCCACCGATATTTTTAGCCTTAGTGTCTTGTTTCTAAGACTCCACAGGAAGAAGAGGGAAGATACTATACATATTTTTATTATTGATCTTCACCTTCCCAATGTCCTTTCTTTAAAAAATGGCACTGCCCCCAAAACTGCCTAATCCTTTTTTAACTGTGAAGGTAGTAACTGCTTTGTTCAAACATTTTTAAATCGTTGAAAGTTAAATTTCTACTACTCCTCATTTCTCCAGTCTTGCTCTCTGTAGCTAATCACTGTTAATAGTCCCTTACATAGCATTATAAAAATTACTTTGATGGTCTGTGTGGAATTTTTCCTGAAAAGTGCATAAGAGTACTCCCAGGATGAGTTGTGTCACACCGTTGGATCATGGTGGGTCAGACTGTACCTGATGTTCAGATGTTTTTTCTTACAAATAAATTTATTTAAATTAAAAAAATATTACCTTGAAATTATTTTTAATTGGGACAGGCAGGTGTCATCACAGTTAAGGGCACTGGACTCCCACATGGCCAACCGCAGTTCAAGTCCTGGACCTGGTGGCTTGCTTTCTCACTTTCCTTCTGTCTTTCTCTGGTCAAATTAAAAATAATAATAAGGGAACCAGCAGTTAGCGTAATGGCTATGTCGCTGGACTCCCACGTAGTTGACCGTGGTTCGCGTACTAGACCCGGTGGCTTAAAACTCATGCCAGGCGCATGTGCGTGCGTGCCCAAGATCCCGAGAGAGGAGAAGGGATTGCGGCGTGACCATCCCCCCGGGGGGTGATTTCTCGCTTTCTGTCTCTCTGTCTCTCTCTGTCTGTCTGGCGAGCGCACGCGCCCTACAGTGAAAATCTCTCCAAAAAATAATAATAATAATAATAATTTTAATTCGTTTTCATTTTTAATAGGTCACAACAAGGCTATATATGATGTAGACAGAATATCAAACAAATAATTGAAGGTTGTTAAACTATCAGTCAGTACTGACAAAAAAATAAAAACACAAGACACTGAGTTCATCAATCCATACATAATTCATATATCTGTATAAAAGCCTACCACATCTGATTAACTTTACATAGAGATTGTATTTTAAATGATAAAATGTAGAGACCTTAACTTACAGCATCTCAGATCTGAGGGTAACCTTAGGCCAAAATTAGTATTACTTCCTGATCACATAGGCAACTAAAGCCCTGAAGTTTAAACAAATTAGTCCAATGGGATGGATCCAAATCCCTTAAATCTGAACTAAATGAGATAATGTAGAGCTCTGTGAACTGAAAATGTAAAACTAACTATGGGTGTACAACACATCAAAATAAAATGACAACACAGTCACTATATACTTCACTAATTTTTTTTAAAAATGCACAATAAATCCATTCAGTGCCAGTAGTATCTGGGGGTCTGTACTACTTTATAAATAAAAGAAGTAAAAAATCTTGCTCTCAAGGTGTTTAAATCCATGATGAATAGAAATTATTTCTAAAGGATTTATAAGAACACGAATGTTGTAAGAATGAGAGCAAGGAACAACTCATGCATAGTGATAATATCATGGGAAGGTGGGTTTCAGCCAGGTTTATAGGATGGGTGAAAGAGAGAGGTTTCCAATAAGGAAATAGGCATGAATAAAGGTGCAGAAATAAAAAGGTTCCTGGTGTGTTCAGAAGATAATGAGTAGCTGAGTTTGACTGGAACATTGGATTCGTATGTGTGAAAATTGACAATTATTAAAAATGACAGGTAGGCTTTGGTGTGTAGAAGACTCTAACTGGCATACTTAGGAACTTAGACTTTACTAGGTAAGTAAGTAGGAAGTCACTGAAGGTTGTGGAGGAAGGGAGTACTATAAAAATGATACTTTCCTCAGAGTGACTAAGAAAAGAGTATGCTAGACAATTGGGGGTAGTATAAGAGTTGATATTAGGGGATTCAGTGAGGAATTGATACATAATGAAAGAGACTGAGAAAATATGGAAAACAATTTCTTTTCTGATAAAAATTGTCTCTGTATCTTTAATTTCTTTGGATAAGTATAAGATATAGATCTCAAATAGATGATCTGCAAAATGATCCTCAACAATTTCCATACCCATTTATTTAGTACATATTGTTCTGGGGTGAATGATGTGCCACCTCCCCCCCAAAATTCCCCAGTACCTCAGTACCTTATTTAGAACCAAGGTCATGGCTGATATAACTAGATAAGATGAAGTCATACTGGGAACCAGCAGCATACTGAGTAGGTTGGGCCCCAATCCAATATGACTGGTGTCTACTATTGGAAAGGAGAAATATAAACAGAGAGGTAGACATTCACATTGAGAATGGCTTGAGAAGACGAAGGAAGAGATTGGGGTGAAACTTTATTTTTTTTAAGGAAGTTATTTTTTTTGTTTTTTTTGTTTGTTTGTTTCCTTTTTTTTTTTTTTTTTTTTTTTGCTTTAGGGCATGTGTGCTCACCCGAGAGAGAGAGAGAGAGAGAGAGAAGGAGAGAGGAAGAGAGAGAGAGTGAAAGCAAGTAATCACTCCCTAGGGGGGATGGCCATGCTACAATCCCTTCTCTTTCATTCTCCTCTCAGAACTTTGGGCAGGCACACACACAAGTCTCAGTGTGAACTTCAAGTCGCTGGGTCTGGGATTCAAACTGCGGTCAATCATGTGGGAGTCCAGCAACATAACCATTATGTCATCTGCTGGTCTCATGAGGTGATATTTCTACAAGCCAAAAAACACCAAAGACTGCCAGCAGCCCACCAGAAGAGGCATGGTACAAATTCTCTCCAACAGTGCTCAGAAGAAATCAACCCTGTTGACACCTCAATCTTGCATATTTGGCCTCTAGAACTGTGAGACAAAATTTTTTTGTTGTTTAAGTCACTGAATTTGTGGTACTTATTATAACAGTCTGAGTGAAACAATACATGTATCAATAGCAGATTCCAGGACACCAAGTGTTGGACCTTCAATTTTGATGTCCTATTGAGACAAGAAGGGGAAGAAAGGCTTTCCAAGTTTAAGAACTAAGGAATTTTCATAATGCTTGATCACTATATGTGACCTAAAGAATATAAGAATTATAAAAAAGAAGAGTCTATGTTAAAAATAAATCTCAAGCACTTCTTGGTTCTAAAGATTCTATATGATTAATAGTTGTAATACAGAGCCATAGCTATAACTAGCAACATCAGTATGCATGCATATAAGATTTTATATTCATTTTGTATTGGTTATTTCCCAGCCAAGGAAATCACCCCTTATCTGTTATTTCTGTTATCACATAAGAAATTGCCAAGTATAAAGAGGTGTTGAAAAATGGAAGAATATTACCAAATGTTTTGGCAACGATTTTCATTATTGGAGTGCTCATAGGTGAACCATTTCTACATATTTCTCTTTTCAAAGTTATCCTTGCATTTAACTAGTCAGATTCACCTAAATTGGATGGGATAAACAATAAAAGGGCCTGTCTTCCTTAGAGGGATTAGTAATACCCACCATGTGGTTTTTCTTAAATTGTCATTTTGCCTGATTAAGAAGAAAAATAATTCTTTTAAAAAAAAAATTCCGTAGAAAGTTTTTCACTCCAAGCATTTCTTGTTTACATTTCTATTGTCATTGGGAATTCACTTAACACAAATAGCCTTATTTCTCCTCAATTGTCATAGCAAATACACATATAATTTCTTACATATATTTCACCTCTCAGAAAAATCAGTCTGCTCATGAGGTTTTGCTTTCAGAGCAAACAATTTAAGATGATAATACTTTTTGGTTATTTGTTTTTTTTGTTGTTGTTGTTGTTTCCTCAGCTATTTCAATCTGCGGTGAGACAATATCTTCCTAACCAGAAAATTGCTTTCTACTATTCAATAGTTTCCTGATTGCCCAATAAGCCATCACCACTTTTCCAGATACTAAGGCTTCTGCAACCCTGTACCCAGTTTTTTTTTTTTTCTTTTTTCTCATTTACTCACACTCCAAACGAAGTATATGCTTCTGTTTTTATGTTCAACTTATGGCTTGCAAAACTCTTTACATTCTTGGGCTTTTGTTCCTCCTCTAGTTTATGATAACTGGAGGACTTTTCATTCCTGAAGTCAGGATTCCATGTTAAACTTTTTCTCATATCGTGGCTGGTTTCATTAGGCAGAACTGGTCTCACATTCTTAGAGTTACTGGTTCACAGATACACGCACACTTAGAAGAACATTGTGCATGAGTGAGTTTACAATTTTTTCTTGAGGGCAAGGAACATTTCGTATACAATCAATTATTGCTCATTGAATCCACATCTGTGAGAGTGACACAAATATCCTGTTATAAGAGAACGTATGTGAGCACAGAGACTCTAGATCACTTTCGCATCCTGAGTCACTATTCTCAGATTCTCTGTAAATGGGGTTCTTTCTTTATCTGTGGTCGTGATCCCATCAGTTCTAAACCCTAATGTTCCTCAGCTTTCTTCTGTTAAACTGAAAGCTTCTTCATTTTTATGTTTTTCATTTTGACCTAACATGGCTTCAACAATGTTTAATTTAACAAAGAACCTGTTACATAAATATTTGTTGGTTGAAATAATGAAAAACTGAATGTCCTTCTATCATGTAAATATCTTGCAGAGCAATAAAAAGCATGCTAAAACAATGAAAGAGATTAGACACTGATGTCAAATCTAGCGTATTCAATTCTTTGTAAGTTTATTAAATTATTTGAATACATGATCAAAATTAAACTTCACTTCCCCCTACTCAATCCTGCCTTAATTATCTAATCCTCTTTGTCCTTCTACACTCTAATGACTCTGTGTT